TTTTCGAAATTTCAAGAATAATAGAATCATTTACAAATTGACAACAATTTAGTCTTAAATGTGTCAAAACAGTTCCAGATATACGAAGAAAATATATAAAATCTTGATACTTAATCATATTATAATTTCCACACCATGAAAGATCTAATTGTTGCAAATAATGACACCTAGGTGCTAAACTGTTTAATGCAGTTGTATCTAAACAATACCAATAAGGTTTTAAATTAAGACTTGTATACAATAAAGCATCTCTTGCAATGTTATTAAAATGTTTATTTACTCTGCATAAACAACATAATGATCTTAAATCTAGATTTTTTAAAATTTTTAATACAGTTTCATCCTAAAATAAATAAAATTATATTAAAATAGAAATATATGAAATAAAAGTATATTAATAATAAGTATCATTCTATTAATTTATATAATAAAATTATATAAATTATATCTTAAAATTTATATAATAAAATAAAGTAAATTATTTTACCGGAAGTATTGAAAAAGTGCAATATGATTGATTTTCAAAATCAGTTGAAGATACTAAAAATTTTTTCTGGAGAGAATTATTTTGTTCAGTAGTATCTGGTATTGAATGACGAATATCTCTAATAAGTTTTGGAAAATCTTCTTGTAAAAATTGTTGTAAACTGTTAAATGCTTCTTCTATAGGAGGAACAGATTGATAATGTTGACCTATTTTAGATATTAATTTACCCTTGGATACATTATCTATTACTTTACTGTAATAATTAATAAATATATATCACATTCATTAATTTATTAAAATATTAAAATAATAATGATTAATATCAATATACCTTTTAAAAAGTTTACAGTGTTTAGAAAGTGTCTTTTTAAGAATTGTTAAATCTTGATTTGCTTTTAAATAATCAGGTGTTAAATTATAAATGTCATCGTCACTTTGTTTAAGATACCCCAATTCTTGTGAAAGATCATTTAAATTTTGATTGTGCAAGTTATTAGGTACAATTAATTCTGATGTACCAATAAGTAATACAGCATCTAATTCTGTATAATAGTCTAATAAAGTATGATTAAATTCTAGTCTTATTACTTTTGTCTTAAAATTACATAGCTGTAAATATGGAGAAAATATTCGTGGCTTGTGTGGCACAACTTGAGGAAATCCATTCCATAATTGATACCACTTGCCTTCGGAATTTTGTGCCCAAATCCCAATTACACTTCCAGGATTGTAAGTTTCATATATTGATACTCTAATTGGATATACCTCTTGATAATATTCTAGATCTTGATAATATAAAAAATATTCTAATTTATTTCCATTTTTCATATATCATAAGTATTAATGGTATCAGTATAATATTCCAATAAGTTAAAAATATCTTTAAGAATAAAAATATAAAATATTATGAAAAATGATTGAAATATTATAATATGAATATTAAATATTAAAAGATTTAATATTTAATTTTTAATTTAAATATTATATACCTATATAATCCTGGCTAGTAATATTTATATTGTTCTGTGGCATATAATCTATTAATCTTGAAGGTGCTTTATCCCACCATTGTCCATATGTTCTCTAAAATTATAATTTATTGAACATAATATAAACATTATTGAATATAATATAAACATTATTATAAATATATTAATTTCATTTATTATTAACTTTATATAATGAACATCATATTTTATATATATATAAACTATTATATATTTATATATTTATATAAAAGACATTATTATATAAAAGACATTATTATTATCATCATTATTAAATATTAGAAATTATTTTATTAATTACAATATTTTATTTTAAAGATTCAAAAAATATTTAATATGACAATATCCAAAATTTTTAAATTTAATATTATTTTATGCTTTTCTCAACTTTCAGTAATTTTAATTATATTTCTAAACAAATTATTATTGTAAAATTACTAAAATATTATTAATAATTTTGAAAAATTATTAATAACTTACAAAATTATTTTATTTTATGAGAAATAATTTAACATCCTTAATTGTTTTTTTTTAGTATTTATTTATAATTATTTGATCTAGTAATTTTGACTTAAAAAATTAACATACCATAACGAAAGCTTGTGGAAAATCACCATAATCAGGAAATTTACTTGGATTTCCAGCAATATTATAGGCTGTATATGAAATACTAATGTTACTTCCATATTGCGAACTAAAGTCACACACATCTTTAACAAACTGTTCAACAAAAATAACAGTTTCTTCTTTTCCTTCAATTCTTTCTCCATTTATCGGTACTACTTCAACGTTTATCTCGTCATGAGATATCATGTCATTCACAATTAATCAAAAAGTTTTAACTTTAAAGTTCAATTAATGTAGGTTAATCACTCTAAGATTTACTATTTTTATAATTACACATATGATCTACATAACAAGTTTTATGAACATTTAAAAGTTATAAATAAGATTTAATAATACGAGAAAAGAAAATTTTATTATCTTTTACTCTTGTTTTAGTACAAAAAATGTATAATATATGTACTTT